CTTAGAAAATGAGGTCAAGGTCAAAGGTCAAGGTCGTGTTCTCAAGTTTGACGTTTGCTTGTTTTTTGCATTTTCTCTGGCCACTTTTAAAGTTATATATAAATAAACTACTGCAAAATGTTTGCTTTATAGTGATGAAGTTATGATATATTTTGGTCTGTAATAAGTCAATGGCATCTTATAGGAGTTATTGTCCCTGAAATGTTTTATATTAAGGTAAATAGATTATTACTTCAGATTGGTACATGATAAAGCCATAAGGTCTTTTGCAAAATATTGGGCGACATATGACCTTGAAAAATATCAACCGGACGTGACATTGGTTGAACAGGAAGTAATCTTTTGCACTAATTTCATGGAAAAAAATCTACATTCCATATATTTTTTAAATGGTCATACATAAACCATTCATTTAAGACCGAAAGTGACATTCTATAACCGAAAGTATCAAATTATCTCCCTTATTACAGGCATAAGTATAAACAAACTATATATTTTTGAAATCAGTGTGAATAAAGCTATCATATGAGACCGGAAGTGAAATTTTATATGCCGGAAGTAGCCAGTTTTCTCCCTTTTAACAGGCAAAAGTATATATAAACCATATATTTTTGGAATCAGCTATCATATGAGACCGAAGTGACATTTTCTTAACCAGAAGTTAGTCAACTATTTAGAAAATTGATGTGGCAAGACTTTCAATTGTTCTCCGAAAATTTTGTTTTTAATTTTGTTTTTTTTGTTTTTTTTTTTTTTTCGAGAATAGTTCACAAGATGTCGCTTAGATATTTGGTGTATGATATCGAACAGTTAATTTGCTTTTTAAACTGACACCGTTTAACCGACCACTTTTTTGTGTATGAGTTATCTCCTTAACACTGTTTTTCTTGTGATCGCTTCTCCTTCACAAACGTTAAAGAAACCAACAAATGTATTTAACCAAATTGCTCGTTATATCCTCAGGTTTTCGAAAAAAAATTTGGACCGAGATGTCCGGAGACTTCATATTATGGTTTATTCCCCTTATGTATAAAAATAAGTGATATGTATTTATAACTGGTAAACCATAAGTGATAGAGACCTAGGGTCTTTTGATTTGATGTCCAGGGTCCACCAAGAAGAAAATGAGGTTAAGGTCATAGGTGAAGTCTTGAACTTTGAATTTTGCTAATTATACCTTCTTATCCGAAACCGAAAAAGATATCGACATAATATTTTTACTAAATTTTTAGTTACGACATGTCGCAACACATATACTTTGGTTGAAAGGGAAAGTTGACATTAAATAGGAGTTTTCTCCCCTCTTATGTTTAAAATTGGCTGTATGGGGATATATCTCATTAACCATATATAGGATAGAGTCTTTTGAATTCAGGTCCTTGGTTGATTACCTTGAAATTTAGGTCAAGATCAAAGGTACATTTGACGTGCTAGATATTGACCTTTGTTATAAATTCATATTTATACATCATGAAGCTACGGGGTCTTTTGCATTAGGTTGGTAAATATATGACCTTGAAAAGGTCACCTGGAAATGACCTTTTGTAAACCGAAATTAGCCATTTCCTTCACGAATTTCATTCAAAAGTACCTTGAACCATATATTTTTTGAATCAGTATAAAGTCACCATCAGATGGTACCAGATGTGAAATTTTTAAGACCAAAAGTGGCAATTTATCTCCCTTCTTTCAAGTAAAAGTATATAGAAACCATATATTTTTGGAATCAGTGTGACTAAAACTATCATATGTGACCTGAAGTGACATTTTTAACCGGAAGTATCAAATTATCTCCCTTATCGCATACAAAATAATAAAGAAACCATATAAAATATTTTAAACATGACTTTATTTGAATACTTTTAAACGAGTCTTTATATTTGTGCAAAAATACTGACAAAGGACATATTGAAATAAAATGGAATTATATCGTATTTAATTATATACTTTTGGAACAAGAATAATTACGTTGTCTAGAATACCTAATTACATATAACAATTTAAATATAAAAATCATACAATATATATGCATGTTTATCTTATTTCGTGATTGACATGCATTTTCGTTTGTTTGAAGCCATATCTTCAATGAACATCAGCGCTTTAAAACTTTACAACAAAGTATTTATTTGATAACGGTTAACAATGAAAGGGAATTGTTTGTATTTGTGTTGTGTTGTATACATGGTGCATATTGTTATGCTAGACAATCGTTTCGTTGATTTTAATCAAACATATTTCCATTGATTTGACGTGCTAGAAATCCATGCAGTTTTTAGTCAATATATACAATGAACCGTTTGTTTGAAACAATAAACTAACCTGAATTAAAAATTAAAATAAAATGTATATGAAGTATAGATCTTATCAATTTACTGACTAACCTGTGAGTATAAACCTTAAATAAGTTTCTATTTATTTCATTTCAGCAAACAAGTGGTGCAACCTTTGTGCATGAAAGAGTTAACAGATTTGGGCACACTACACCAATACATGATTATATGGAACTTGGCCAAACACCATTTACTGATCAACATATAGTTTTAATAAAGGGCTATATAGAACTGCCCCTTACGGCAATTTTAAAAAGGAACTACAGCCAATAAATACACAAGAACACTTTCGAAATTGTGTAGTAAAGTATACAGGTCGTCATTTCAGATGAAATTAGAACAATTTCAAGTTTAAACAGACATCACAATTATATTGAAAAAAAAATGTGACTGTTATATATTTGTAATTATTTTGATTGATTTATAAGATACGTTATTTGTTCAAATCGTGCAAATATTTGTTTTGTTCTATCTAGATCGTTAATTCAAATATCGTGATTTCTTAGTGGGAATGCCAAGTAAAAACGAGTGTTCTTGAGTCTCATTAGTTGTTTAACGACTTTCATTGTCTAAATCTATTTGACTTAGTGACGGCGTTTTAATGAACTTGCAAAATAATCTACAACATTATTCTACTTTTTTTAAACCAACATGCCTTTTGACAAAACTGAACCAAACTTGCTGCTAAACGCGAAGTTTCATATCACTATTTCGTTTTCATTAATGATTGAACTGAAAAAAAAATCATATTTTACTTTTTTCTATATCTCGTAGATAAAGCCCCTTTAATTATTGTTAAATAAAAAATCATCTTGACTTTAATCGTCACACAAACCTTTATTATATTCTTCTCAAAAGGTATTGCTTCAACTTAGTTCGTCTATAAATTACTTCAATACATTCCTTCTATGGTTTTACGAATATATAAAGACTACCTGATAATATGTATGATATATGCTATTCAACAGACAAACCAACGGTACACAAAATCAAACATATTAAAGACTAAGTAACACAAGTCCAACACAAAACTGAGGTTGATCTCAGGTGCTCCGGAAGGGAAAAAAGATCCTGCTGCAAGTGTAGGAACCGTCGTGTTGCTTATGTTAGTACATACCCGCCAACATGTCTAATTCGGTAGGTCACATTCGGTGAAAAAGGTGACGTGATTGTAGTACGACAATTGGAACATATCCATCGTCATCTGTGAAACAGATATTCCCTAATGGTCAATCAACTCTTGATGGTGTTCGTAAATTTAACGAAGGGGTGATTTCAGCTTCACCACTTGTAACTCTTGTTTACTATTGAACAGCGATATACTACTATTTATTTAATAGCTTCCTTGTGAGCAGCAACCTTCTATCAAGGAAATCATGATAGGAAGTACAAGCCCTAATATATCGTATCAACTAGGAGATATATACTCCGTATGTAGTCGCTGCTGGAATGTTGCTCTATAAACACAAAGAAAGTTCACAATGGAAAAGCTAATTTGTCTCTTATGTCGTAAAGTTTTGTTTTGAATCGACCCTCATCGTCAATTTCTAGATGTAAGTCATGATATGAGGCAGACTTAACTGTATCTGTTGTATCCTTTATCTCAAGTTCGATGGGATAGATGCGTTCAACATAGATATAAGACGATGTGGTATGAGTGCCAATGAGACAACTCTCCATCCAAGTCACAAGTTGTAAACGTAAACCATTATAGGTCAAAGTACGGCCTTCAACACGATAAAGTCAGCAAATTTTGAATTATTTAGGGAGAGAACATCATCTACATAGCGGAAAGTAATGTTAAAGGATACTGCCAAATTCCTTTCTTTTTCCCTAATAAGTTTCTGTATGAAGTCCACCTTATATGAATAAAGGAACACGTCAAATGTTTTGCAACAGTCGGGTCTTTAAATATTGAATTAGCATTGGTATTCATAGACCCGTTCAGGGTTGGTTTGGAAGAGAAATGAAGGGTACAGAATTCCTTTAAAATTGAAATGTATTTTCGTGTGAACTGATTTATGATGAAAAGTGTTGCACATAAGGCCAATATGATTGCATCGAGATCTTTGTTAGCATTAGAAAGTTTTAGAAAGGATCTTTTCTCCTTTTCATCTTTTCCAATGCGAACTGTCGGTGAATAGCAATATCCGAAATGATGTAAGTGTGTATTGGTTTAAATAAGGGTTTGTAACATTGGTTGTACAGAGAATGAAGTTTTGAAAGGGGTAATGAATAGATTCGTGCAAATATGATGAATATCTAACGTTATATAAACAACAGCAGATCATTGATAGAGACATCATGGAGAGTATATGATGTAAAATGACGATGACCATTACGTCGAGGAGTAGAGTTGAAAATGTTCATCATATTCACAAAGCTACAGGAAGGACCAGATAGAATACATATACCATCATTTTGTCATTGCAACCATATCGTGTCGCAGTTCTCAATTGTCGAATCCAATAGTTTTCTTTTTTTGTCTACTGAGAGATGTTGCAAGGTGAAGATTGTTAGTCATGTCGTTTAGTTTTTCGATGATGCGAACTTACATAGAAAAGATTGAATGATCATAACAATTTATAAATAATCAAATACTGCATGTTAGCAACTCATGATATCAACTTTGATAGTTTCGTATATTTAAGTAAGACTTATATTTACCTCATATGAATAGAATCGTACTTATGGTTCATTCCAAAGTTTTAATAAACACATTTAAAGTTGAATACTTTTCAGACGTACACACACCACGTTATACTTTCAAAAAAGAGTAATCCTTACGTATCCAATCATTATTTAAACTTATAAAACACACTCAATTCCAAATTAGGACGTCATTGTTTGTGTTTTCGACTTATCATATTCGACAATTTTTTGGACAAGTTTAAGCATGATCATGATTTGATATTACACCAATCTGTGAAATAGTATTTAATCTTCTACATCTTACTTTGGTGATTTCTGCATTTCTATTTTGGTCAATAGTGACGGGAATGAAATTTGAAATTTGTAAATATAATTTGCATTAAGATATATCTTTCTGCGTTAGTGTTACATAATGATGAACTTTTCCATCAAGCAAATTATTGTTGTAGCTTTGTACATTCTTTTAGAATTTCTAAAGGGCTGTTCAACACCTTACTGTCAAATATGACATATAGTTTTAAGAGTACAGGCGTGATGCTAAAATCAAATGATAATAATTGACCTGTTTCCGATTACGTACTAGATTTTCTAGCATTTTGATTTCTTTATAGCTGACGAAAAAGATATTTTCGATCGCTGCATTTATTTGAATTGGCAAAGAAAAACCGATATTACACTTTGTTGAAGTATCATAGTTAATAACTTTAGAACACGAAAACAGTAGGTTAGAAAAAAAAACATATTTTGTTAAAATATAAGCCAGTTGTCACCAAATAAATGATAAAGTTGAAGAGACGTGAAATCTAAAAACAAAAACAAAAGTTTTACAAAATCCGATGTTTGCCAATTTCTGCTAGGTTGAAAAACTTTTATCATTCGAATTGTTAAAACATTTTCTACAGTAACTGTTCATACAATGACCGTATTAATACTATTTGCAGCCTGCTCAGTTGTATTGAATTCTGTCAAATTGAAAACGCTTTCCGAAATTATTTGATTTGATTTTAAGTTGAGATTTTGTTGCTTTGAATATTTCCTTATTGTTAAATACGATTGTGATAGGATAAAGGAAAGACCAATAAAATGATTTGCATCCACTTTCCCCTTTCTGTTCCAACATGTGAGCTAAGAACTACGCGAGAGACTTTTTGACATTAAAACAAATTTATTATAGATTTTTTATATAGACATTTTGACTATCGTTTAACGAATGCGATTATTTAGTTAGCTGCAATTATATGTGACACCCAGATTAAAATACAAAGCTCGGTTGAAATAACCATTCAATGTATTCTTTGTTTTATATATGCGTGACTGACAATCATGTCTTTGATCTAGTAATGGTTTGTAAAAACAGGATAATAAATAAAAATAATGATATAGATTCTAAATGTTTTGATTCAAACCAGTTTATGTTTTTGTTCCTAATAAATGTCATTCGGTGTAAATCTTTAATAAAACACAATTGCTCAACTATTAACTTCTAAAGATTGATTTCAAAATAGCTTATCGCAATTCAGTTAGATTTACAAACACGATTGGAATGTCCTATGTGCTGTTTTATACATGTAATAAGTTCACAAAAGCGTTCATTCATAACAACTTATTTGACATTGTGTAAAATCTGTATACGCTAAAAGGCAAAGATTTCTTTGGCAGATAAGTGAGCAACAGATTATTCTGGCAGATAAATGAACAAACCTGCATTCAATAATCAAGGATAAATTCGCAAATTTGATTTATAAACTACCTTTGGCTGTATTTCAACTAAATTGACAACTTCGTTAGCCTATTTAATCGAGCATTGCATTCATTATATTTTTAATTGAATTTTGATCTTATTACCATAGTGAACAGTTTCAAAATTTAATCATAAAAAATAATCGCAAAGATAAAATTTCAAAATAGCAAAGGTTTTCTTTTCTTATTCAAAGTTTCATACATAAAGTTGGAAATCATCATAAAAAATAAATTGTACCGAAAAATTGATTCGATTGTACAATAAAGTTGAATATAACGGGCGTCAGAAGCATACCAAATGAACAGAAAAATATCTAGTTTAGCAAAATAATAGTTTTTATTCTGTACACTTAGAGTTAGGTTGGTACACGCCAACATTGCAGTACAACTGTCTCAAAACAGACTAATATGTGGGTGTAAATGACTATTTGTTTTTATGAAATACATCAAATGGAACACAAATTAGGGCGTAATAACCAAACAACTTTAACAAGCATTTTACAATAGGGGTGAGATGAGATCTCACTAAATATGTTTAACTCCGCCGCATTTTTGCACCTATCCCTAATCAGGAGCCTCTGGCCTTAGTTAATCTTGTATGATTTTTAATTTTAGTTTATTTATATGTTTCGGAGTTTAGTATGACGTCCATTTTCACTGAACTAGTACACATTTTGGTTAAGGGGCCAGCCGAAGAACGCCTCCGGGTACGGGATTTTTATCGCTGTGTTGAAGACCCATTGGTGGCCTTCGGCTGTTTTCTGCTCTTTGGTCGGGTTGTTGTCTCTTTGACACATTCCCCATTTCCATTCTCAATTTTATTTTAAATTACTAGAAGTGCATTTTACTTTGTGAAATTTAGCAATTTGTAATTCAGGACTTAGTGGTACAATATAAAAATGCACCTTAACTAGTCGCAAAAAAGCTTTACTGACAATTAGAATTTAGTCCTCAAACGTCTTCTGTCGGAGTAGGCGTTTGCATGTTATTACAGGATTCTGATCCATGACAGGAACATAATGTCCGTATATGCAAAGTATGCAAGGTTTTGTTCGACACAAACACAAGACATATATATTGTAACATGCCCTTACAGGAACACACGAGATCATGAAGAAATCTCCTCACATGTTTCCTTCAAAGAAGACAGGATGCAAGGAATCTTTGACCGATCTCAACCCGTATTCCAACGTTGAAAGCAGAAGGGATTTTGCAAGACCGAGATCGTGCAATATTTATTCTTAAATGAGGCACGAAGGATTTGCTCTTCTGATGGTGGCAATCTGACCAGACGTGCACCCCAAGTTGTAGCAAATTTTACCCAAAGTGTGTTTATGTCCTAATGACAGAATGCAGAATCCTTTATATATATTTTTTCATAAAGCCTTGCCACAGACCGTCAGAACATGATATGGTAGTATCTTTGTCGAAATCTCTTAAATTGTTCAAATCACTGAAATCCAGTACTTTCTCTTACAACAATTCTTACACTGACGGTTTACCAATTCCACATAAAGACGACGTAATGCCACATCCATATTGAGCATGTACGGCAAAAAAGGCTTTGAAAATGATTTCAGAGAGAGAAGAGAACAGTTGGAGAATATGCACAAAATTCATTCGTGTTTGTAATCTGTTTAATTGTACAAACTACAATGACGTCAGTATCAGATAATTTAAAAATGATCCTGTCTTTTTTTTTCCTTCAGCCTGGTGTCTGGGTGTGAAGTCTTGATGGTCATGCAGGTTTCAGCCGTATTTGAGTACCGAACAATTCAAGACATTCAGCGAATTTCTGGTCAGAAATAACTTTAGAAAATTCGGGATGATCAAAGGAACCTGCCATTTAATAAAAAAAAACTGAGGGAGCACTAATGGCGGGTTAATCCTAATGACTAAGAGGTCACCAAATTATTTAATGATTGTATGTGTGTTTTCTTTATCAGCAAGAAATTTCTTCCATTCGGGAATATTTCTTCGCTTTATCACTTGAAACACTTTTGCATGATCAATGACTCTGTTAGAACGCTCTCTTTGAGCTGACTTGATGGAGTGTTTTACATCATATCGGTCAAAACACCAGATACTGCGTGTTCAATTATTAAATAATTGCAGTAAGTACGAGGAAGATCTCCAATGATTATATGCTTATTTGCATCAATGCATTTAATTATAGCCATACCATCTCACATATATTGTCGGTGAAGGGTCAAAATCTGGTATAGAAAGAGCCGACAAGATCTGATTTATAAGTTTCCCTCATTGTTCCATCTTCATGGAGCAATGATACAAGAATAGGTCAGAGACGAAGTTTAAAAATACTGTAAATGGTGACATCATATCTCCTGGTGGCCAAAACCAGAGCACGCCTGAAAAGAATTTCGGAATAGATATGACCGTTTTAATTCTTACTCATAATTTAGTCAAGGTATGTTGATTAAACGAACCGAGTTTGATTAAAGAGAGGTAAATCAAATTCAAAATTAATTCTTTAAATCAATTAACAACGAACAAAGATATGTGATGTATTCACACCAACTATCAAATCCCATTATTGGCAGGAGATGCTTAATCTGTCTGCGCAGCTGGTTTTACCCCTTGAGGAATACACTCCATTTCACTCATAACAGTTGTATGATATATAAGTGATGAACATAATGAATACGAAAAGCCAACCCATAGTTACGCATGAATTCCAATATTTTGTCATAAATACAAGACAACATTTTTCTTGGTGTTAAATGTTCTGCAAATATAGTGTATTTAAAACTAAAACTCGTATGTTGTGTATTTAGAAACTATTCAAAACTGTCAGTGTTAAATGTAACTAGTAAACAGTTTTTGACTCAAAAACTTTACTTAGACGAACAAAGACCAAATAAAATATCAATTTGCCAGGAGTCGTAAGTCAATTCAGCTAGACCACCGTGAAGGCATAATATTCATGGATCAGAAACTAAATATTAATTATGGATACTTGCGAAAAGAAATTAGAAGACAGATTATTGGAAAAGATAGCTGATGGTGTTGTAAAAATAGGCGAAGGATACCAAAGGGTCATTCAATTTCATAAGTCGAAAATAAACTGACAACGCCATGGAAAAAAAGAGAAAAGAGCAAAAGACAAACAACAGCATATACAACATAACATAGAAAACTAAAGACTGAGCAACACAAACCCCATCAAAAACCGTGAATGATCGCAGGTGTTCCGGACGGGTTAGCAGACCTCGTCCACATGTGGCACCCGACGTGTTGATCATTTAAGTACAAACTTAGCTAAATACGTTAGGTCACATTCAGGGAATAGGAGGACGGGATTGTGGTTGCTATCCGTTGTCATCTGTGAATCAGATATTCCATAAAAAATCTCCTTAACGAAAAGAACAGGATTAAATATGCATCACTCCCACATATTCTAAATTCAGACTCAAGGGCAAGTTCAAAACGGATAACATTCAAACAGA